TAGTAGATATTTGAATGTAATTAATTCAAATTGCTTTTAAAACATTCAAAAGCTCAAAATATTATTAAATATGCAATGTTTATTAAATTTAATAAAAATCTACAGATTTTTAAAAGTCACTGTGTATTTCACCATTTTACCCTTAGTCTCATATATGAATAATCTAAAATTTTTCTTAATCTAAATTTATTAATTTTTAGGTTATACCTCTTGGAAGTTTTACTCATGCTTGTCAGGATGACATAATATGTAAAGCTGAAATGGAAGATGTTCCATATTTTAATGCACCTATCTATTTTGCAAACAAACAACAAATTGGCAAAATTGATGAAATTTTTGGTACTTATAGTGATTATTTTGTTTCTATTAAACTAAATTCAGAAATAAAAGCTAAGTCCTTTAAAGCTGCTGATAAGGTACATTACTTAATATTTAGAAATATTAACTTTATTTAATCACATGTTTATATTTCTACAGTTGTATATTGATCCTGCAAAATTATTACCACTGAAGAAATTTTTACCACAACCTGGTGGTCAGAAAGGTGGCAGAGGTGGTGTAGGTGGTGGTAGAGGTCGTGGTCGAGGTGGTGGTGGTCGAGGGGGTGGTGGATTTGGCCGTGGTGGTGGTCGTGGAGGCAGTGGACGTGGTGGCAGTGGTTTTGGACGAGGAGGTGGCGGCAGAGGATTTGGGGGAGGTGGTCGTGGAGGTGGAAGAGGAGGTGGCCGTGGATTTAGACGGTAGCTATAAATATATTTCTGTGAATAATTCATTGTATTCATTATCTGAATTTCATTTTCAGAAGTATTTTATAATTTGACATATGATGTAAACAATAAAAGAATTGTTATTTTTCTTATTGTATTAATTCTTAAGAATGATTGCCCATTTATTAAGTGTTATTAGATTTCAATTACTTAATTGTCATTTTACTGAAACCTGATTTAAATAATTAAATGTTTCTTTAGAAGTTTAAAATTGAGTTTTCATTATAAATGTGTTAGAGTTAGGTCTAACGTTTATCTAAATAATACAGTAGTTGTAAAGCACAAACACTTAAAACAAAATAAGGAATTACAAATAA